TGAATTTGGGAAGGGTTGGGGTATACATCAAGAGAGGAGTTGCTGAAGTAGTGAGAGCTTTGTGGTGATCATCCATCTTCATATTCAAAGATTTTCACTCTCTTATTCTGTGGTCGTCGACGGTGAGATCGATTGTTAAACTGTCTCTTTAGAGATTGAAAGAAAGAGAGATGGGGTGATGGGAAAATATGATTTGTGGAGAAACGTCACCGACTGCTTTGAAAGCATTTGTTATTATGAGTCTTCTTATGAGTGAGAGTAACATATTCCTTTCTTTGCGTCTCTTCTATTAATGAATGAATGAAAGCACCTACTTTGTTCCATTAGCACACTCTCTATATACACATACAAAAATATATGGTAGATGTGTATACACTAGACAAATGCGCGTGTGCAGTGTTAGTTAGAGTTTTGGGGGTGAGGAGGGGACGAGTGTGAGTGTGGGGAGTATAAGGTGAAAGGTGGCAACGAGATTAGGGTTTGTCCTCATGCAGCCTCGTAGGTGTCCCTATGGACTCTGCTACTATTATCAACACCCAGTATTGGCCACCTCAAAAACCACTGCAAAAATTTTTATAAAAAAAAATTGTTATATATAATTCAATTTTTTAAACTATTTTTTCAAGTTTAGACACAAGTGAGTGATTGGTGTCACTTGTGTTGTATCATGAGTGAAAAATTTGTGTAAAAGATGTGATTTTGTATAGTGTAGATTTATTTTGAGTGTGACTTGTATTTAAATCTATATCATATGGTATTATAATAATATTATGCGGTATTTTAAGAAGTTGGTAAAAAGTTAATTTTTTGACTTTTTTAGTCTATTTTATCTTTTTGTGAGTAAAAAATGAGAGAGGTGATGTGACTCAAAATGAGTAAAAAGCCAAAAGCTGACATTTTTAGCTCTTCCCAAGGCATGCTGTGATCAATGGCGTAGTCAGAAATTCAGTGAAGAACGACACAAATTAATGACAATATTAAATTATTTATTTTTATTATTATTTCATAATAAACAATAATGAGATATTACTAAACTTAAATATTAATAGTTTATTTGGATAAATGTGAATTTTAAATTAAAGGATTTAAGATTAAATTTTATATAAATATTGAGGAGTAGCTATTGTATAGGTGGATTGGAAAATTAAAAAAGAAGATAAGTTAAGATAGAAATGATATATTTTAGTAGAGAAATTCTATAAAACATACCACAAAAAAAGTGTCTATCATATCTCGCAATTATGATCTTCGTGATCTTTAGTTATAGCACATTATAGTATTAAATATAATTTAGTTATAACTTCTTGTGGTTGTTATTTTAGTTATGACTAAATATCAAGTAATAATTAGTTATGACTCATTCTGCTATTAGTTATGACCTATTGTAATTTTTTTATTTTTATAATTGAAGATGTGTTGCTTAATTATAATTTATATAGTGGTCATTTTAGTTATGAATGGAAAGAAACATATGAAGGATAAACTCTACATGTCAAATGTAACTAACAATCCAATAAATTCTATATATTTATTGAAATTTATTATGTTTGTATGTCAATAATGATAGATATCACCATTATATTGAAATTTTTATGGATAATAATATGACTTATTATAGCCTATTTATCTTCAATCAAAATAACCATTATTGTTCTCATAATTTAAAAATGTCATTGACGTTTCACTTTAAATAATATTTTTTTAATTTTTTTATTTAATAAATATTCTTTATGTTTAAAAAAAAAAAAAATTCCAAAATTCAGGGGGACACGTGCCCCCGAGCCCAACATAGCTTCGCCCCTTAGTACAACAATCAAAATTTGGAAGAGATTCATAGTTTTGATGGTGTTTTTAACTTAGAGGATATTGGTCATATAAGGGTAAATTTCTTTTAAAAAATTGACAAAAATAATAAAATATGTTCGTTATTTTTTCAGAACTGAACTCCAGAACATATGACCTAAATTTGAGAACACAGAACCGAACATTATCGGTTTTGCTTCATACACCCAGTGGGGGTCGCGCCCCCAGTGACGTGGCGTGCCCCCACTGGTCGAAAATCAAAAAAAAAAGAAAAGAAAAGAAAAATTATTTTTTTCGGACCAACTCCCAGCTGACACCTCACTGGGTGTCACTCCCAGCTGGGGGTAGGAAGCATTTTTCAACATAGAATATATCAAGTTTAATATTCTTGTTAAATCTATCATGTTCACGATTTCCTCGTTATCTCACACGTGGAATAGTGAATTGAGAAAAGTAGTTAAACAAATAACTAGACCGTCCAAAGATTTGAGACTCAAACATTAGTACAGAGACTAGTCTAACGTTAAGTAAACATATGGAATAAGGTGAATTTATTTACTGCCGACTTTACACGAAAAAAGACAAGTGAAAAATGTTATATATTATGCTACTTGATTTGAACTTACCTTTAAAAATAAAAGTGTCACTCGTTAATATCTTTGTTTTTGACTTGTCTTAGCTTTTTTTTCTTAAGGGTGGATTGTTTAAATAATTTTAACAACTTTTATACATTTTCTTGTTATAATAAGTTTCGACAACGCAGACATTACATAACTTTTAAAAATTTAAGTTACCAAGTTATGTTCTAAATTTAATTTCAAAATTTTTGTGACAAATTATTTAGATCTAATTTCAAAAAAAAATTACTGACAGATTATTTCAATTTTAATAAAATTTCAGTCACAAATTACGTGGATACATGGTGTAATGTAGTATATGGCAGGTCTACTTGATTCAAATTGAAATAGAATGACCTAACTTAAATTGGACAAAAAAACACCTCGTTTGTTTCCACTTTTCAAAAAATACTTTTCAGAAAATTCTATTTTCTTATTTTTCGTATTTTTTTGTTTTTACTGAATTTTTTTAATATTTTAAGTATTTTTTTATTTCTTAGACACACCTAACATAAATACACCTAAAAAGTAAAAAAATTGTAAAAAAATCTTTTAAAAATTCACTAAATACTAAAAATACAAAAAAAATACAAAAATTCAATACATTTTTTATATTTTTATGTATTTATTAATTTTTTAAAATATTTTTTCATAAATTTTTTACTTTTTAGATATATGCAAGTAAGGTGCACTTAAAAAAGTAAAAAAAATGTTTAAAATTTAAAAAATATTCACTAAAAACAAAAAAAACACGAAAACTAAAAAAATCAATTTTCAAAAAACTTAATTTAAAAAATTCAAACCAAACACCCTGGTCTAAATTTGGACTGACAAATACTTTCGTACCTAAAATATGTGCAGTATATATCCGTGATCATAGCCATTTCAGTTTTGGAGAGACTAGGCACAGCACAGGCAATAGTATAGATGACCATATTGGGTCAAAGTTCATTTGCTCCGTTCATGCCCATCAAAGATTCAATTGCCATCTCAATTTTACTGTAACGAGTCCCATTATGTATGCATATCTTTGTTTTAAATTAAATTGGTTAAAATTATGAATATAGAGATAAATTGTGTTTGTTATGTACTAGTATGGTGATATTTGTTGGGTAGAATTAAATTTATGAAATTATATAAAAAAAAATCTTTTTATATAAAAAGTGGTGATTGTTTTTGGTAAAACATGTATAATTATAATTTATTTTTACTTTCAATCTTATGAATTGAATTGTGATTCTATGATATATCTCACATATGCTCCAAGGATCTGGCGGTTTCTTCAAGTTTGAAGTTGAGTTTTTCAGTTTTTTTTTTTTTCATTTTTTGGTTTGAGAGATTTTATGGAGTCCATCGGTGCTTTGTTGTGACTTACCCATTCAGACATGATTTATGACTAATTGTTTGGCTTTTGCTTTGTAGTATGAGCACAATCTATCTCAGACATGATCTATAGCCAATTGTTTGGCTTCTACTTTGCAGTATGAGCACAAGTATGAGATGTGCATCTATATTTTTCATAGTTTTACTCCTATGTGTTATCTGATTTGATTTTTTTTTTGTTTGGTGTAAATTTTCTATTAGATAGACTTCTTTCTGTAGGTGTCATCTGGCTTCTTTAATGGAAATTTCTTTTTGATAAAATAAAAAATAAAAAAATTGTAAATCTCACTTCACTCATTTGGGAGATTATTGATCCTATGTCTTTTGTTTTAATCAAATAAATTTTGAGTAAGACTTGTATTATTGTTAATGTAATCTCATAATAGGGATAACAAACATTACTTGATAATGTATAATGATAATCACAATCATATCTGTTAAGGATCAATTGACACATCAAGTGGAGTAAAGATCCTCCAAAGTTTTTTTTTTTTTAAATTTTCTAGAGTGGTGCATTGTGTGGTTGAGATTTAATGACAAGTCACATTACTTTTTTAATATTAAATCTCAACCACACAATATATCACTTAAAAAAATTTTAAGAAAAAAACGCTCTAAAAATGCTTGGTGCATCAAATGATAAGACAGGAATATGAAATTGGATCATCTTGACATGTGCCAACTACAGCTAGCATCAGTTAACATGTGGCTGTGCCAAAAAGAAAAACCATGCCTATTTCTTTTTATTAATTATTTACAGTGAGTAAAATGGCTACATATAATCAAATGAATATTCAACCCCAGAAAAACAAAAAAAAAATCTCATAATCGGACGGTATCGCTGACTATCTGTTTTGAATTTTGATCATCATCTTATCATTATCTTGTCTCATATAGCTTCTAGTAGGCAGCTCTTTGTGTGTTGAAAGTCCAACCAAGACTCCACATCATACTCAACGCGATAACCAAGCGAGTCCACCACATCTTCCGTGCTCCAACCCGCACGCAACAACCTCAGCGACAAAACCCGCACGTGGCACACCACACCCTCCAGGTCTCTCGACACCATCCGATCACGCTCATCTCCACCGTCCATCATCATCATCTCCCTTACCTCGTCTTCTTTCCACCCTCCATTCCTCAGCCTCCAACACACATCCTCCATACACCCAACCAAATCCCCAGTCCACCACAACGGCGGCGGCGCCCTCTCCATCATCTCCGTCCAAAACTCGATCCTCCGGGGCTCCGTCGCGGCCCAGACCGGGAAATCGACTCGGTGGAAGAATCCGGCGACGTCGAAGCTGGCCAGGCGAACATCGGCGCCGTGAACGTAGAATACGGGGTTTCCCGCCAAATTGGGAGAGGAGGGAATGTAACAGTGGCGATAAATAGGGACGAGAATGGGGGATTTGTTCTTCAAGAAACGTTTGGCCAATTGAACGGCCTCGTTGGTGTCATTGGGCTGGTCGCCCCAAGAGTGGGCCCAGAAATTGTGAATGGAGACTTGTTTGCAAAGGGACAAGATAGGGAGGTTGGTGAGGATTTCGAGCTGTTGGGAGGAGGAGGATCGCCAGTTGGGGAAGCCAGGGCCGACGGGGAGGCCTTCTTGGAGGATGGAGCGGAGGTCAGGAGGGAATGTGAAATTGAATTGGGACTCCACGGCACTGAATTCATCATCGGTGAGGCCTTCGGCGATGGGGACGTTGCAGGATTCGAGGTGCTGGATGACTTTCTTGGCATATGCTGCGAATGAGAAGCAGACTCTTCTTGCTTTTGGGTGGCGCTGCTGCTGGTTCTCGACGGCGGTGCTGATGGATGCTTCTGTTACTGTTGTTGTTGTTGGTGCCATTAGATTGGATTGGATTTAATTAAGAGTACCACCATATACGTTTGGGTATGGCGGTCATATATATATATGTAGAGAGAGAGAGAGAGATACGCGGTTCAATGTGCGTGTGAAACAGCCTTCCGTGCTATTCCTTCCCCATCCCCCGGGAAATTTTTTTACCAAAATAATTATGAAAGATTTGCAATTCTTAAATTACATTTAAAATAAAGCATTATATATTAATTAAGTTAATTCAAGAATCATAAATTTTTCATGATACTTAACTTTTCCTAAAAGAGAAAAGAGTCTTCTATGTCATTCCAAACTACTTAGACCTAGGGCTGCAATTCGGTGGGTTCGGTCGAGTTGTGAAGTTGTTCAAGCGTAACTCAAGTTGTACTAAGGTCTATTTAGGTCCGTTCAAGTCTGAATTGTAACCCAAAATTACCTGCTCAAGTCTTATCCGAGTTAAATTCGAATTGCCCGAATTGTATTTTATTTTATTTTATTTTTGCAGCTATATTATTAAATTATTAAAATTTGACTCTATTTACATTTATATATATAGAAAATCATTAATACCATCAAAACAAATAATTTATATAATATAAGAGAGATGTCGCTATAGTATTTATTACAATTTATGAGTGAAAATAAAAAATAAAAAAAGATTTTATTTTATTTGTATGTATAATATATATTCAATATGATTTAATAATTTAAATTCCATATCCTGTAATGACTAATAATTTATATATATTTAATATTTTTATATATCTATATATGTATAATTCGTATTTCAGATTATTTGGATTATTTGATGTCTTTGTCCAAGCTTGTCCAAATTTAATTGCCCAAGTTCGTATCAAATTTAAAAATATCTTATCCAAATCCTAAAAAAATTCAGATTGAATTTGAATTACTCGGGATTAAACCCACCCAAGTTACAACCCCGCTTAAACCAAACAAGTCGTCCGAGTAAAATCAGTTTGTTGATAGAGAATGAGAAGAGAGAGATTTATAACATTTATTTATTTATTTATTTCGGATAAACTACAAATTAAAAATAATAATAAATAAACAGTAAGTGTTATAATTTTAACATAATTATATTAGGGTTTTGTAAAATTTTAATGAGGGCTATTATTTTCATTCCATTTTGTTTTAAATATATATATTTTTCTTTATTCTTATTATACATAGTTACATTAATACATTTTAATAAAGAACAATTAAAGTATATGTGTAAAAGTAAAAAAAAGATATTAAGAAAATGTTATAAACTCCAAATAATTTACTAAATTTTTTACCAAACATCTCACATAGGTGTGAGACCTATTGTGTGGGTCCCATACCTATCTGAGAGTAAAAAATTTAATAAATTATTTGGGGTCTCTAGTATCACTCCAGATACTAATATATCTATGTATAATAAGTCCAAAGAAGGGAGTGTATTTGGAGTTAAGTTGATTGGGAATAACGGTTCCCATTTTAATTTACATAACAGCGAATATACTTTTGTCAATAATTCCTTGTTTATATAGATGAAAAAAATATATTGTCATATCTTTCATAATAAAATGTATATTTTTATTGTTTATCTTCAAATTTTAATATCATTTACATTAGTTTTGATTTCTTTAATTTTATTAAAATTTATATTAGTTTTGATTTCTCGAACTTTATTAAAATGAAGGTGAGTGTGATTATATTAAAATAATAAAAAATTTCGTAAATTTTTTTTTAATTTTAAGAAAAGTCAATATAATTTATTCTTTTATTTGTTATGTGAATTATGAACATGATATAATAAGAAAAATGTAACAATGTGATTATGATTATTAATGTAATCAAAACACTTACCATGTATGGCAGACACTACAAAAAAATTGACTTTTTGCGACGGTAAAATACCGTCGCTAATACTCCCAATGTCGTCGCTAATACTTTTTGCGACGGCAAAATGACTTTTTGCGACGGCAAGAGGGGGGTCGCAACTGCAGGGGTTGCAAAAGAGTTTTTGCGACGGTAAGTGCCGTCGCTAATGTTTTGCGACGGCATTTTTTGCCTTTTTGCGACGGCACCGTGCTGTCGCTAATAACGTATGAAATTTCTTGACTTTTTTGCGACGGTCCTATTTTACCGTCGCTAAAAATGTTATTTGAGATGGCAAAAAATTACCGTCGCCAATAATCTTTTTTTCTTTAAAAAAACACTTTTTTGCGACGGTGTAGTGCCGTCGCAGAAAGTATAAAAAATATGAAATTTTCTATTTTTTGCGACAGTGTAATGCCGTCGCAAAAAATATTAAAAAATAATAAAATTTCTATTTTAAATAATAAAATTTCTACTTTTCGCGACAGTGTAATGTCGTCGCAAAAAGTAAAACATGTAACAAAATTAATAAAAATATTAAAATTTTCTATTTTTTCCGACGGTGGTGCCGTCTCTCTCTAAGAGCTGATTATTTACATTCCATTCACAAAAACATCATAACAGAAAACAAAAATAAAAATTGATCAAACCATCAAATTCAATATTTTACAAAGAACAATTAAACTGTACATGTTCATAAAAGCATATTTAAATTATAAAATTCACCCAAATCCTAAAAAAAAATAAAATAATAAAATAAAATCTAAAATTCACCAATCAGCACATTGGATATTTAAATGCTCTTACAAAAATATAAAATTCACCCAAATCCTAAAAAAAAATAAAATAATAAAATAAAATCTAAAATTCACCAATCAGTACATTGGATATTTAGGAACAAAGCTCTCCAATGCTTGTAAATTAGGAACAAAGCTCAGGTCCCATCATGAGCGAAGTGGAAAGCTTATTGGTTCAAAAAAATGAAGAACAAACTGAATGTGGAGCTAATTTTGGTGGTGGTGTTGTCGGTTATGGATTGAAAAGAGTCTAGCTGGTATACCATTGAAAGTCTCCTTGGTGATCTGAATATGAACTTTGAAATCCCCAACTAGCTCTGTGAGATCAGGCTCCTCATGCAGAGCAAAAACCATTATCCCTTTCTTTGCTGCACCAAAACAAAATCTCCAAGCTGAGTAAATATGTATAGGTGAAACTGAACTTAATAGTCATAATTTGAAATAATAATTAAAGAAAAATATAATATACAGACAAACCAAAACTATATGTTTAACCAAACACAATATCTTAGCTCCAACTGAGATATGCTTCCTTCTCGCATCAGATTCGCGATTCTGAATTCTGATGCGATCCTTCCTCAGAAGCGCAAAATCGCACTTTTTCCTCGGAGTCGTCGCCATCTGAGACGATTCCTACTACTAAGAAAAAAACTAAAAAAAATTGTAAATCCAAAACCAGGGGGAGGGGCATGTGACCCCCCTGCCCTCCATGTAGCTCCGCCACTGCATGTAGCCAACCTCGTTTGATAGGACTTAAGGCTTGATTTGGTTTGGTTTGCTTTAGCCTAAAACCACCAATAAGTGAGCAATAAGTATTCCAGACAGCATCCCAAAGATCAGTGATTCTACAATAGCAGCTTAAATTTGCAAGTTAGCACCCAACCTTTCCCTAAGAATTTTGCAAACAGAAGGCCACTGCTTGCCCTAGTACTAATTTCATGTCATCAAAGACTTTGCACTCGAACATGAGAAAACTCAAGTGAGACTCAACAAGATTTACATACAGGGAATTAGTAATGAGATCCATAAATAGTGATGACATTTACACAGTACCATCTACATGATCATATGTTAAAGACATGTCAGTTCTTATTAGCATAAAATTACGAAGTGAAATATAATTACGTGCTTACAATCATTATCATGCTAACTAAATTATGTACTACAGAATTGCAAACCATGAACTTTGCATATTGATCGTGTAAGAAATATAAAATCTAGACAAAAAGCATCCCCCTGTAATATCAGGGGCAATCTCATTTTACCTCTAGCAATTAGTTTGGTTGAAAAACCAATTGACAGCCACAAAGCACCAAACAGAAAATCATATTACTATGTATTGGCAAAAAACCATGAAGTTTAAGTGGATCTCTTAAGTTTTCAGAATGCATGCCTGCCTGTTTCGTAACAGAAATTAATCATTTCATGTGTAATTGTGGAAGAAGATGTTGGGTCTTTGCAGTCCACACTCCGTCCTTTGTCATTAACCGGGGTTTCTTATTCTCAATTTGAGAAAATCTAATTGTATTGAATTTGAGATTTTTTACCACTTGTCTTGTTCAGTAAAAAAAATGCAGTCATATTCCCAATGTTCAACTAGAAAATAGAAGCACCGGTTGATCATTGCAAATAGTCTCTCACTTAATATTGTATTTCAGTATCGGGAGCCCACCAAAAAGAGCAATATACATTACAAGTGGCATGAAAGAACGACAATTTGTCAAAGAAACTACATATACCATGTACTGTGGAATGAGGGAGGCCCCATATTTTGTCTTAAATATCCTCTCCAGACAAGCAACCAAAGCATTCTCAAGACCAGGCACATCCCCTTTCGTTTGTAAAGCACTGCAAGCATGATCATACTATCATGAAACAAACTCAAAAATTTTAAGGGTTAATTGCACGGACAACACGTCAACTATCACTGAATATCATACTCCTACCCTTCTCAACTTTAAAACCGTACATTGGACCACCCACCTATAAAATTATATCACTCTCACCGCTCCATGGGGCATTTGTACAATTTTATATAATTGACGGGGCTAAAGGTAGGGTTTGGAAATTGAGGGACCAAAGTAGGGTAGGATTTTATAGTCGATGGGGCTAAATGATTTTTTTATGGTCGACCAGAGTGATTAATTGAGAGAATGTCCGTGCAATTATTTATTAACACAACTTTTAACATCAAATTTTATAATGATTTTGAGTTATACATAAACAAATTCTAAGTAACTGAACTGCAAGAAATCAAGAACATGTCGATATCATTGAATTAAAGTAATATATGTATCTGTATGTGTGTATAGGTAGAGAGAGATGAAGAGGGTTACTTGATGATGACTGGAAGGGGGAAGCGATCAAGGAATTCCTTTGTAGAAGAGTCAGATTGAAAACCTGATAGATGATAAGATAGAAGGGAAAAGGTTATATATATATATATATATATATATAGAGAGAGAGAGAGAGAGAGAAGAAATGTGAAGTGCAAGGAGTGTGAAGAGTGGATTACCGGGATGAAATGCGAAATTGGAAGCTGAGATGAGTAGCAGAGTAGGATCGCTAACTGAGTATTCCTCTTCCATGGGCCTACCTACCTACACAAAGAAGACGATGGAGAGGAAAAGAGAGGAATGGAGAGAGGCGTGCAATAACCTGACTACTAGAACCTGCAACGGTTGATGGCCCGAAATTTAGTGGTTAGAATAGTTTAAAATTGTTAAAATGACATCATTTTAAACATAAAATAAGTTAAATAATATTGTTTTGACAATTTTAAATCATTTGAACCATTGATTTTGTGGCTTTTAAATATTTTTCGTACTAAAATCCAGTCGGCAAAAAAGGAGAACTTTATTGAAATTTTAAAATGGGTAAAATTGCTTTAAATCCTTAAATTATGATTTTTTTATATTTAAGAAATATTTGAGATCTTAAAAATAAGGTTCCTTATATACCTTTAACTCTTCATATTAATTTGGATCCATAATGATAATACGAATCGTCTATCTTGTCTTTGTCATAAAAATTATTTATTTAAAAAATAAGTTTCATCAAAAAATTTTATTTTGTTTTATAAAATGAACGACAAATGTAATTATAAACTTAAATCATTTATTTTATAAAATAAAATATTTTTTGTTCTTGTGTTTAATATTTTTTGATGAAATTCACTTTTTGCATGAATAACATTTATTACAAAATTTACGAGATGGACGGCTTAGATCATTTGGGACAAGTCTAAATTAGGGCCTACAAGAGGGTTTCGAGAGGTATGGAGAGGCATTTATTCCTCAAAAATCTCCCACAATTCAACACAATGATGTAATCTAACCAGTGTCAATTTTTTGATTGATTATATACTCAATTATGTGACTCAACGCCTTTACTACATTATTGTGGATACATTTGTAACTGTAAAATGTGGGTCTCTAACATTATTATTGTTTATATTTTGCCTTTAAAATTTTAAAATGTAACAATTAATTATGTGAAAAGGTGAGGGAGACACTCTTATCAGAAAGACAGAAAGACTCATGAACTCCAAAAGGGAAGGCAAGCAACTCATGGCAACTGACTTATCAGAAAAGAAAAGAACCAAGAAAGAAAACTAGAATTATATTATAAATCAACTTTTTACAAACTTCAAAGTCTATGGTTTCTTTGACCTTTTTTAATTGATTAGCCCCTAAGTTCTCATGACTCATGAACTCCAAAAGGGAAGGCAAGAAACTCATGGCCTGAAACTTATCCGAGGGAGACATTCTTACATGAATTCGATGCAAGAAAGATGCACAGCTAAAGAATACAGATACCAAAAACCAAAGTTCAGTCAATATCACTTGTCTAGTTACTAGTCAAAGAAGTAATGAACTAACATCAAACCAGAGAGTGATCGGTGAGACTGAGATCTGTTGGTCCACAACAAAAATCAAATCATAAATATTTCGAACTAAGATCATAAAAATCAGATCACAACTAAGATCATATTTCGAATCAGATCTGTTGGTCCACAACAAAAATCAAATCATAAATATTTCGAACTAAGATCATAAAAATCAGATCACAACTAAGATCATATTTCGAATCAGATCTGTTGGTCCACAACAAAAATCAGATCATAAATATTTCGAACTAAGGTCATAAAAATCAGATCACAACTAAGATCATATTTCGAATCAGATCTGTTGGTCCACAACAAAAATCAGATCATAAATATTTCGAACTAAGGTCATAAAAATCAGATCACAACTAAGATCATATTTCGAATCAGATCTGTTGGTCCACAACAAAAATCAGATCATAAATATTTCAGAGAGAGAGAGAGAGACGCTTACCTGTGTGTGAGAGAGAGAGAGAGAGAGATGAGAGAGTGAGAGAGACAGATCAGATCAGATCAGAGAGATATATATCTGATATATTATATATACATATAAATCCAAAAAAAAAATCAACGATCGGGAGAGAGAGAGACAGAGATTGAGAGAGAGAGTTCACCTGTGAAGTAGATCGGCTGTGCGATGATGATCGGTGCGATGAGATGAGAAAGAGAGTGATCGCCGATCGGTGTGCAGAAACGAGAGTGAGAAAGAGAGACAATGATGTTGAGATGAGACTGAGAGAGTGAGGGAGCCGATTAGATTAGGGTTTTTTTTTTTCTTTTGTTTTGTTTGTTATAGGTGAGTGAGATGGTGAGTGAGAGATGGACGGTTAGATTTGAAAGAGGGAAAAAAAAAAAAAGAATTTTTTTCTTTTTAATTTTTTTATGAATTTTTTTCTTTTTGAATTTTTTTTTTTCTAATTTTCATTACAAATGAATATTTAAATAATAAAAGGATTTTTTTTTTCGCAACGGAGGATGTCATTGCTAAAAAAAATTATTTTTTATTAAAATAATTTTTTTATAGTTAATGAATTTTTATTTTTATTTTTATTTTTTCATTTAGTAAGGTTAAAAATTTATTTGTTTCATATTTATTTTAATGAATATAAAATTATTATTATTTTTTTATTTGGTAGAAGTAGGGATAATATTTTCCATTAAAATAAAGTTAATTTTTTGTGGCCAATGAAAGAAAGAGATATAGAGAGAGAGAGAGAGACAGGGAGACAGAGAGAGAAAGAGATAGAGAAAGAGACATAGAAAAATAGAGAGAAACAAGATATGAGCGAGAGATAGACAAAGAGAGAGAGAGAGAAATAGAGCGAAAAGAGATGATCGAGAGAAAGACATAGAAAAAGAGAGACGGAGAGAGAAGAAAGATGAGTGAGAGAGACAGAGAGAGAAATAGAGAGAAGATAAATAAGCGAAAGAGAAGAGAGATAGAGAGATAAGAGGGATAGAGAGAAGAGAGATGAGCGAGAGACAAAGAGAGAAAGAGAAAGAGACAGAGACAAAGACTGACAGATAGAGAAGAGTGATAAGTGAGAGAGAAAAGAGAGGTAATATTTTGTGGTAGAGGAGAGGAAGCGGCAGTAGTGGTGAAGGTGGTGGATAAGAGACGATAGTGGTGGTGGTGATGGCGAAGGAGATTAGTGGTGAAGTTGTGGTAGTAGTAGAATAGATGGAGTGGCAGTAGTGAAAGAGAGGTAATGGTAGTAGTAGTAGTGGCAATAGTGGTAGTGGTGGTAGTGGAGTGATGGCGATGGTAGTAATAATGGTAGTCGTAAAGGTGAAATGGCGACCGTGGTAGTAGTGATGGTAGTGAAATGGCGTTTGTAGTAGTGGTAAAGGTGGTAGAGGAGATGAGCGGTAAGAGAAAAAGATGAGTGAGAGACACAGAGAGAGAGAGAGATAAAAGAGATAGAGAGAAGAGAGCTAGACGAGAGACACAGAGAAAAGAGAGAGACAGACAGACAGAGAAGAGTGATGAGTGAGTGAGAGAAAGAGAAGAGTGACAGAGACACAGAGAGAAAGAGAGAGACGGACAGACAGAGAAGAGTGATGAGTGAGAGAAAGAGAGAGAGAGACAGAGAGACAGAGAGATAGAAAAGAGAGACAGAGACACATAGAGAAAGGAAGAGACAGACAGACAGAGAAGAGTGATGAGTAAGAGAGGGAAAGTGGAGAGCTCGGTAAATAGAGAAGAGGGGAGGGAGAGAGTGAGCAAGATGAACACAATAGGGGAGACAGACAGACACAGAGAGAAAAAGAAAGAACGAAGAGTGATGAGTAAGAGAGAGACAGACAGACACAGAGAGAGAAAGAAAGAGAGAAGAGTGATGGGTGAGAGAGAGAAAGAGATAAATTTTTGTATATATATAGAGAGAAAGAGAGAGAAAGAGATAGAGAGACAGATAGAAAAAGAGAGAGAAACAAGAGATGAGCGAGAGATAGACAAAAAGAGAGAGAAATAGAATGAAAAGAGATGAGCGAGAGAAAGACACAGAAAAAGAGAGAGACAGAGAGAGAGGAGAAATGAGTAAGAGAGATAGAGAGAGATAGAAAGATAAGAGAGAGAGAAAAGAAATGAGAGAGATAGAGAGAATAAAGATGAGCGAGAGAAAATAGATGTGAGAGATAGAGAGAAGAGAGATAGACGAGAGACACAGAGAGAAAATGAGAGAGAGAAACAGACAGACAGAGAAAAAGAATGATGAGTGAAAAAGATAAACATAAGAGATAGAGATAGAGACAAAGAGACAAGAAGATGAAAAAATGAATTAAAAGAGAAATGTTATATCAAAAGAGTAAGACGATATTGTTTTTTTTTTAATTTTTTTTGTGATAGAAAAAAGTACTAGAATTTATTCAAACCATTTTGTGACTGTATATATATGAAGCTGTCTCAAAACCACAATCACTATGCTAGGTTAGAGTTTTCCAAAAACTCTTTTGAGAAAATTATACTTTCTTGTTTTCCGTGTTATATTCAGCTTACTGAATTTTTTTAATATTTTAAGTATTTTTTAAAATTTGTTTTAATTTTTAGACACACCTAACATAAATACAAACTAAAAATTTTAAAAATTTGTAAATTTTTTTTTTAAAAAATTCACTAAATACCAAAATACAATAATTCAATACATTTTTTTGTATTTTTTATATATTCTAATTATTTTTAAAATATTTTTCATAATTTTTTGTTAGATACCATCTAAGTAAGGTGTATCTAAAAATTATTTAAAATTTAAAAATAATTCACAAAAAAAAAAAAACACAAAAGTCACCTTTTGCGACGGAGAAAATGCGTCATCAAAAAAGCAGAACATTTGCGACGGCACATTATTTTGCGCCAACTCTCAAAAAATGAGAGTATTTGCGACGGTATTTTCTCGTCGAGCAAATACTCTCATTTTTTTGAGACAGCAAATTGTGGCCGTCGCAATGCTTCTGGCTTTTTTGAGACGGCAAAAATTGGTGCCCGTCTGCAAATACTCTGCTTTTTTTGAGACGACATTTTTTTGCCGTCGGCAAAAAGTGACTTTTTGAGACGGCAAAGTGTGCCGTCCGCAATAATTCGCGTCGTTATAAACCATTTTTCTTATAGTGTGAGGTGGTGTGTGTAACAAAGGTATGAGGTAAAGGTATGATTGAAACAATTGTGTGTAAAATAAAAATAAAAATAAATAAACATTACTAAGTATACTATATTGAAAAAAATATATACAAAAATAACTTGGCGTGGTGAATAAAAACTTCCCACAAGCATTGTCATGCCTCATGGTTGCAACTACATGATTTACCCCATAATTTTGGTGCAAGTAAT